GCTGTGGGGGGCACAGAGGGGGCGAGGCTGTGGGGGGGGCGCAGGAGCGAGGCTGCTGGGGGGCAGTAACGGAAGGCGGGAGGCCCTGTGGGGTAGGGAGGAAAGGCCCATGTCTGCCCCAGAGTCCTTTACACGCCCCGGGGGATGGAGGGAAGTCAGGAGCGGGCTGGCTAAGGCAGGGCAGGGGGCCGTGGGAGCAGACCACCTCAGCCCTGGGCCGCGGGTGGTAAGCACTGTGCAGGTGAGAGGTGTGGGAAGTAGGAGCGAGGGTCGTCCGACAGGCTGGCGGGGGTTGAGGACGCCCCACGGCTCAGTGTCCAGTGTTTCTGGACACACCAGGTGTCTGGGGGGTGGGGCACGGGGTCTGGAGAGGGAGGGAAGGGCCTGTGCCCCTTGTGGCTGCTGCTGAGGAACGTTGAAGGGCCGGGAGCAGGGGGAACCCCTATGTACCACCCGCCTGACCAGTGCTCAGGGGCAGGCCCCCCACAGCGAGCAGCCACCCCCTGCTCTCGGCCACCCAAACGGCCAGCAGCTACAAATGGCGAGGTCCTGGCCTGCCTCTTAGGTTCTGGGCCGGAGTCAGAGACCAGTGCACTGTGTCCCCTGCAGACTGCAGCCGTCACTGGGTCCCTGGATCCTCAGGGCGACCAGCAGCCTATCCTGCTTGGGAAAATCCGTTTCCACTGCTTTCTCAGTGTAATTGGGAGCACACTGCCTCACCCTCCCTGGCCCTGGCCGACACGTCACCGGCCAGCTTACCTGCACGGTGCCCTTCAGTGAGCCCAAACCACAGGCGTGGCCCAGCGTGGCCTTTCTCCGTCACAGTCCTCTGTGTGAAAGCGTCACGCAGCCCCATGTCCTCGGTCCTTGAAAAGAAGGAAGCTGGTTTGTTTTCTCCCTGGTGTGAGAAGCTGGCACTTCGGCATCCGGGGGGTGGAGGGGGTCAGGGAAAAGGGCGAGAAGGAAGGGTAGGGGGTGAGGTCCGCGCGTTCGAGGGCGTCACGGCTTCATCGCGTGCTGCTTCTCCTTTGGGCCCGTCGAATGAGATAAAATGGTTTTCAACTTATGGTCGTTTTCCCTTTACTTCTTTCTTTGTTTGTCTAGGTTTTATTCGCAACAGATGACTTCTTTGCTCCTGCGGAAAACCTTATCAAGGTATCGTAGGTCGGCGTTCTGCAGGTGCTGGCTGGCGCTGCGTGATCACGCAGCGTGTTAGTTAAAATCCTCCCGTGCAGCCCGTGGGCGTCGCGTGCTGTGTCACGGTGCGTCAGCCTGTTAGAACGGGAGACACGCGGAAACCAGCGTGGACTCGAGCTGAGACGTGGCAGGCACGGATGGGCCGTGACACCCAAGGCTGGGACCGCGTGCAGGCTGCTCATGTGAGCGCCGCCGGCCGGTCCTGTGCAGGTCCCTGCGGCCGTGGGGTGCAGCCCGGGCTCTGGCCTGGTCCGCTGCGAACATGCTCGTCATCACGTGGCGAGCACCATTCTGGGACAGCTCTGCCACTGGTCAGGTAGCACGCGCGCCGGCTCCCGCATGACTTCTGTCCCAGCCCAGTCGCCGTGACGGCAGTAGCAACCATGACGCTTACCATGGCCCATCGGCCCCCCACGCTAGCGAGCCCGGCACACTCAGGGCCGGGCGGCCTGGGATGCAGGCGGGCGCAGGCTGGGGCCGCGTGGCGGTCACCTTCACGCCGTCTTTGTGGTACGCCGACCAGATGCCGCACGCCTGCCGTGTGCCAGGCGCCACTCTGCGTGTCGTGCTCACAGCGGCCGCAGCGGGGGGCCTTTGACCCACGAGGGAACCGAGGCAGAGAGGGCTGAGGCCGGGGCGTGTGGGGACCCGGGGTTGTCCTGGGCCCGGGCGGTGCCTCCAGAGCATCTCCGTGGGAGCGTGCCAGGCCACCGCTGCTTGTCTGTGACTCGTCCTTTTCCTCTGCACCTGCCGGGATGTGTCCCTAAGCAGGACAGAAGACCCTCCCTGCAGCCGCCTCGATGCAGGGGAGCAACATGCCCGTCCTTGGGGCCCGCCCGGCACAGCGCGGTGTTGGAGAGCGCGCTCTCCTCAAGGGCCTCTGGCACGTGCCGGCCTGCTGACAACCCTGTCCTCCGGGACGGGTGGCGAGGCTCAGCTATCTGTGTCAGGGCTGCGCCCCCCACCAGCTTCCGTGACCCCAGAGCCCACCCCTCCCCGGGGGGCGCGGGCAGCTCAGAACCTGGGTTCGCGTGTTCGGCCTGAGCCCAGCACGTGCCCGCTCCTCCCGCGGCTTTGGCCGGGCTCCTCGTTAGTCTCTCCTGGGTGCCGTGAGCTCTGTCTTCGCTCCCCTTGCTTGGTCGTCCCTCGGGGGGCACCACTGGGGTTGGGGCTCACTGGTGCGGTTTGGCCCGCGGTTGTCAATGCGGAGCGCCGGGCGCGGAGGCCGCCCAGCAGAAGTTCCTTCTCTGTAGGCAGCACGCAGGGAGGCACCGGGGTGCGGGGCAGGGTGCGGGGCGGGGTGTGGAGCGGGGAGGCAGGGCTGGCTCTCCCGCGCCTACCGAGGTCCCCAGGCCCCCATCTGCACGGCCATCTGTCCTTCTGGGGCAAAAGTGAAGATGCTGGGAGACTGGCTCTCGTGGACGCCGTTGACTGACCGTGCGTCTTCGTTGCAGAGCGACAGCCCCAGCTTTAAGGAGCACGAGCGCACTGAGTTCGGGAGGTGGATGGACGGATGGGAGACCAGGAGGAGGAGGACCCCAGGTAGCCGCGCGGTGGCTCCAGCACGTGGCCCTCAGCGTCTCTGTCGCCTCTGCCGTCCCTTCCGCACTCTGGGCTCTGAGAACTCGGGAGAGGCTAGTGGCCCCTGCCACCGGGTGCCAGCAGCGGGAGGGAGGGCGTGGCACGGGGCTGGCGGGGCGGGGGAGGTCTTTTCTTCCTTGGTTAGAACAAATAAGAAATGAAACTTGATAGCTAGAGAGATAGATGTCAATATGTCAGTTACATTACTAAAAACTCGGCCCAGGCCACGTGCCGGCACGCTAAGCCGGGAGCCGACCGGAGCTCTGTCCGAGGCCGCTGCACGCGCTGCCTTTTATGTCACCTTAAGATGTTACTTCGATTCTTGCCACCCATCAGTCTCGATCAAAACGCATCTCAAGTCGGGACAATCTTGTAAAAGCAAACTGACCGGGACCAGGCTAACGGCCGTTTCCCCGCGCTGCTGTCTCGAGTACCGAGCAACGTCGGCCGCTTCCAACTTCCTGTGTCCCAGACGTGGCTGGACGCTAACACGTCTGGACACTTCGAGGGGTCTCTACGGGACTGCAGGACGTAGTGACACTGTGTGTGAGGAGGTCTCAGATTTCACGGACGCACCTGAGGGCATTCTGGGCGGGGCGCTGGAAACCGTGGTGACAACCCACCCGTGTTTCCGGCAGACCCCGCTGTACCCGACCACCGGCTGCACTGGCCTGGGTGGTCCCCCCGGCATGGTCACGGCCACGTCTCTGGGAAGCAGGTCTCACTGCTTATTCGCAGTGGGATAAATGAGGCTCAGAGACACTGAGCAGTTTGCCCAGGACACAGAGCAAGCAGTCACTTCGGAATCAGCGTCGGGTCTCTCCGAGTCCAAGGCCCCTCCGTGTCTGGTCTGACGGAGGTGCAGACTCGCGGGGGGCACGGGGGCCCATGTAGCCGCACCGTGAGAGGTCCGGGAGTCCTGGCCGGGAGTGAGCCCGAGCACATTGTCCTGGGGCAGGAGGATGGTGTTCTGGTTCCTCGTCTTAGCTCCTTTAGGTCACCTGCTTCACCGGGCAGATCTGGTCTGATGGGGACGTTGTGTCTGCGTGTCTCCAGGTCATGACTGGTGCATCGTTAGGCTGGGCGTTCACGGCATCATCCGGGGCTTCGACGTGGACATCTCCTTCTTCACGGGAGACTACGCTCCTCGTGCTTCGATTCAAGCAGCAAACTTGGAAGAAGGTGCGCTGGGAACGCCGGCCCCAGCAGAGCCTTGTGGGGACACGCGGTCCCCGGCCCGGGCCCCCCGACTGGTGCTTCGATCCAGACAGGTTCAGCCACTTGTCAAGGCCACTTGGCCGCCACAGAGCTTCGGGGCTGGATTCCAGCAGAGAGCTCTGTGGTGTGTGATCTTTAGCTCCACAGTGGTTTTTGACACAGCGTAGATTGCATCGTCCCCATGCTCTTTGGGCCTCACCTGGGGGACCCTGGTGTCCCCGTGAGGCTCGGTGAGCAGAGTGGGGAGGGTGGCAGGGAGTGGGTGCCTGGACCACCTGGGCGACCTGGCGCCGGATCCGAGCCAGCCGTGGGCCCGGTGGCACCAGCCCCTGTCACGGTCCAGGCCGCTTCCTGTCACGGCCCAGGCCGCTTCCTGCCTCGGGAGCGCTGGGCGCCTCCCACACTGTCACACCTGCTGTTCCCCTTTCGGTCGGCACTGCCTGACATCGGTTCCAGAGTGCATTTTTTTAAGCAATAGATGCCGCTTTGTGCGTGTACAGACATGCGCTAAGGAAGACGAGCCACATCGGTTGGCAAATTCATCCTCAAAGTCCTGGGCACGGTCCCGTCGGGGGCTCTGGGGGGGTGAAGGGCTGTGCTCCCGAGCGGGCGACCGGGAGCTCAGGTGACGGAGGGAGAGGGGTTGCTGTACAGGCGGGAGGTGGCCGGCGCCCAGCAGGGGCCCGCCAGCCCGGCTCTGGCCCACGGGCACTTCCGTTGCTGAATCGCCCACGTTCCGGGGGCCCGGGGGGGCGTGTGAATCACCCATGTTCCAGGGGCGGGGGGCGTGTGCTCTGGAACCGACCCTGCCATCGTCCATGAGTCATGTGACCAGTCTGGTGACGTCTGACGTCACCTGGAGACGGTATTTGCTGTTTTGAAGCAAACGTACCAGTAGCGTATCGCGCTACTTTTGAAATTGCCGTTAGTATTTTAAACGTCAAGGAACCTCACACGGTGTGTGTCACTGTGATCAGCCGATGCTCTGACTTGAGACACAATATCGTTAGTGTCATCTGGCAAAACGAAAGTCCCTTCGCCCCACTGAGAGAGTTTGTTCTCTCTGATTTTGAACGCGAACCGTAATCCCAACTGCAGAGAACGAACCGGACATTCCCGAGAGAGGAGCCAGGACGGGAGCCGCCGCCAGCCCCGAGGAGCTGGACGCCATCGCTCAGGTGCGTGCTCCCAGGCCGCGGGTGGGTGACAGCCAGGACGTGGGCTGCGTGCCCGGCCACACAAGGTCATGGGACATACAGCCCTGCCTGCCTCACCTCGCCGACCCGTCCAGTGCGACCTGGCAGGCGTTTCGTGGGCGGCTCGTGCAGCCCCTGCGTGAGGGGACGCAGCAGCCTCAGCGCTGGTCACAGGCGGCCGCTCTCCTGGCCCCTGCCAAACGCTGCCCCTGACGAGATGAGTGCAGGACTGAGGAGTCTGAACAGCTTCTGTGGGCATTTGACAAAGTAACTTTTACGCCCGATGAGTTTCATGAAACAAACTAGATGGGCTGGCGTTTCGGCCATTCTTGTTTTCTGACGTTTCTGACGTTTGTGCGCAGTTCACTGTGCTTTACCAAAGCACTGATGGGTAGCAGGTAGGAAACGGACGATGGTCACAGCCGTGACAAACAGCTCCTTCAGCCTGAGCAGCTCTGATCTAGAGACAACGGTCGCAGGGTTTGGGCCAGCCGAGTCACCTGAGACCTCGGGCCCATGGGGACGCCCTGACTCTACAGTGCCATCCTGGTTTCCTGTTCTAAGATCCTGTGAGGGGATGGCATGTGGAGGGGGTCTCGGATCTTGCCCCTCATCCCGACCCCCTGCCCGACCCCTGCCGCCACCGCCCAGAGCCTGTTCTGACGTGGGCGAGAAAGCCCAGGGCCCTCTGCGTTAAACCTGGGACTGGGCCTTTATCAGCGTTTTTACTGCGTGTGCCGCGAGGCATCCGCCATTAATCTCTACTGCAAAGTACCTCTCCCCCGTAACCCACACAGGCACAGGGTGGCAGGGTTTGTTGTCCCCCGGAGCCACTGCTGACGTTTTAATGTTTGTGTCTAGCTGAAGTCCAACGAGTGGGACTGCCTGGTCCCCATGACTGAGCTTAAACCAGGAAAGCCTGCTTCCGGCCACAATTATTTTCTCGTTAATTCTCAGCAGAGATGGACCCACATAAGACTCAACATTTTCCCAGGTAAAGACGGCGTGCGCCCATCCCCCGCGATATGGCTTCTGACTCAACGTCGGCATGCTTTAGAACTAACTACAAAACGAAGCCGCCCGTCCTGTCTTGCTCATCTGTCTCTTCGGGGTGGTAATTTGCCGCGTTCACTCTCTAGGAAATTCTTGTTTTAACCCGCCCATCCACACGTAGTTATCAAACAAACAAAACAAACAAAAAACCGAAAAACCAAACCATCAGGTCGATCAGGATGTGGTGGAGCTAAGTCGTACTCGGTCAGGCGTCTCCCAAGAATTCCCATTTCACAGGCGCACGGGCGGTCGAAGCGCCACGTACAAGTGACCTCACTGACCAGCTTCGCGGTGAGTCGCACGGCATGCGATGTGCCCATTTAAAGTGCTCCGTTCATGGCTCATGGTATACGTGAGCATACGGTTTAATCTGCAAACATACAGTGCGTGCGGCGCCAGCACCGCAGTCGACTTCAGAACGTTCTTGCCTTGAAGAAGACGCCCGTGCCCTTGACCGTCGACCCTCGTTCCCCCGGCTCTAAGCAGCCATCGTCCGCTGTCTGTCAGGCCGACGGGACTATTCTGGACGTGTCGGACGCGTGGTCTTCAGGGACCGGCTTCGTTCGCGTAGGATCATGTTTTCGAGGTTCACTCGTGTTTAGCTTGTCTCAGTACTTTGTTGCTTTTTATGGCTGAGTAATAGTCGCCGTGTGGGTGGACCCGTCGTTTACCCATTCGCCAGCTGGCAGACACTCGGCTGGCTTCCACCTGTTAGTTACTTATGACCGATGCTGCCGTATGCTTCGCCGTGCACGTTCCCGTGTGGACATAACACCTTCATTTGGGGGTACACATACGCCCGGAATCCTGGGTCACGTGGCAACCCTGCGTTGAACAGCTCTGGGACTGTTGGGCTGTTTCCATCCCCAGCAGCGGCCTGTGAGGTTCAGGCTTCGCCACCTCCTCCCAGCTCCCTTATCATCCGACCTTGTCATCCGACCTTGTCGTCCGACCTTCTCATCCGAGCTCTGGATTCTAGCTGTCCTGGGGTGGGGGGTGGGAGGTGCGGAGTCTCGTGGTCTCGTGGTTTCGATTTGCATTTCCCTGGTGCTCAGTGATGCCAAGCATCTTTTCTGTGGCTGGCTTGGACATCTGTATATTTTTTGTTGGAAAACGTCTTTTCAGAGCTTCCGCCGTTCTTAGATTGGGGTTTTGTCTTTTATTATCGTCGTAATAGTTCTCGTGTATTCTAAATACGAACCCCTAACCGGACACACGCGGTTTGCGCATATTCCTTCCCTCTGTGCTGGGCGTCTTTCCACTTTCCTGACGGTGTCTTTTGAAGCACAACAGGTCTTAATTTGGATGAAGTTCAGCTGTGTGTTTTTTCTTTTGTCGCTCATGCTTTTGGAGCCACATCTAGGAAACCGCTGTGAAATCGGAGGTCATGAAGAAAACCCATTTTCTTTTAGGAATTTTATCATTTTAGCTCTCAGAATTGGGTTAATTTTTGCATTGCTGTGGTATAAGGATTCTGCTTCGTGTGGGTATTCGTTGTCCAAGACCCATCTGTGGAAAGAGTCATCTTATCCATAAATAACTGGCACGTTTGTCAAAAATTGGTTGATTCAGAGACACGTGGGTTTATTTCTACATTTGAATTTCTTTAATGACTTTTTCACTATTTTATCTCTATTTCTCTTGAGAAACATCACTCTTATGTCGCCTCACTTCCTTTCCCCCTTTCTGGTGGCATCGTTGTTATTCAAAGGTATAAATGTTACAAACCCAAAGATACAGGGCCATGATTACTTATATAATTTCATTCTCGAGAAGTCGGGAGAAGAAAGGAGAGCATGTACCTGCTTAGGTTTATTTCAGGTCCATTACATTAACCTTCCTGCTCATCATCCCTGGCTTCCTGCCTTCGTCCCTGTGGCTGTGAGTCGCCACGGTGGCCATTTCCTTAGCCCGACACGGCCGTGCTCCCGGCGGCCTCCTTTGTGCCGTGACTGGGGAATATATTACACCGACGTTACATGTCTATAGATCGTCGGCCCAACAATGCAGTGCAGACGTATCATTTTATGCTCTTGCTTTCTAAAGCGCTCACGGGAAGGAGAGGAGGAAATACGCATTCACGGCGTCCGTGGAGAACCTGCGTAGCCACCTGCCCAGAGCGCCGCGTTTGGCTGCGGGCTGTGTCATCCTAGTGCGGTCTGGTTCCCCCTCACGTGGGAAGCTTCGGCTGCTGCTCCCTTGGGCGCTCCCACGGACCCTGTGAGGAGTGTTGGCCGAGCTCTCTGTGACTGTCGCTGGCGCTGACCACACCCACAGGTGGCCCCTGATCACCATCTGATCGCTTTCTTTCAACAGCGCCCTGGGCATAAACTGCTCCGCTGCTAAACTGATCCATAAACTGATCGGGTTTGTTCCGATCCCGGACGGCTCCTCCGAGCTCTGTCCTTGCTACCCGCTGGACATGGCTTTGTCGCTGACACAGGTCTCCGTCTGCCCGTCCCCTCTCAGCCACCTCCCGCTACACAGTTTCTGAGCGCTCTGCCCTTCGGCGCGGGCTCCTCCAAATTCTGCTGCACGGAGCTCAGTCTCCTGGGAGGAGATTTGGAGTTCTCTGCTCCGTGCCCTGCTCTTCCCCTGGGCAGGAACTCTGGGCCCTGGCTCTGGAGCCGGGGCTGGGGACGATGGCGCGTTCTCTCAGTGACACCCGTTTTAGGAGCTGGTGTTCAATGGCGGGAGGCAGTGACCTCAGGTCATCTTGGCTCATCTCTCAGGGTGGAGCCCATTTTGTGGGCTGACACGCTGCTGATCACGGCCCAACACCTCAGGGGGCCGAGAGCTGAGCAGAGCCCCTGCCCCGAGTCGGGGCTGGGTCGAGGAAAGGCACCCCGTCTTAAGCGCACTCCCCCTGCCACAGGCACGTGGGGCTGGGGACGTCCTAACCCTCCTTTTGGGTGCAGTGCTTCCCGGTTATCATGCTTTAAGGTAAGGCAGCAATGTGCAAGGGTCCGAACAGGTTTGCTGGTACCGATCACTCGTCGGCTGGTTCCTGCT